CCAGATGTGTAAGGCTAATATCCTCTTTTGCATAGGTTTAATTTTCTGCACTCCCTAAGGGGAATCTTGGGTTTCTGTGGCATTGCAGATTGAGCTGCTCTAGGGACTCACTGTTGGAAGCTCAGAAGAAATGCCTCAATACATTTAGCATGGACTCCTAACTCAGGAGTGTGGGGCACTGCTTATGAATCTTCACTCTTTCATTCCTTTGTTAGCCAGAAATCCAACATGCTTTAGGAATACTTGTAGAAAATGCATGTATTGTTCATGAATGTGAAGGCTTTGTCTATCAATTTTCATTCTTCATTGATTAAAGTTTTTCTAAGAATATTTTCTGAGAATGTCTAGAGTACTGAACATGCGAGTTTTAAGGATCCCAGGACACTAGAAGAAGCCCAAAGGTAGATATATAAAGAGATGCAGGTAGTGAACTCAGACATTGTCAGGAAGCCCAGAAATAGTCCATCATAGTCTAGATGCATCTAAGGGTTGGCTTGAGGTTATTAGGCAGGGATACAGAATTGTTTGCCTTTCTGGACAGCCTTTTGGAGCCCAAAGCCCATTTCAGATCTCTGGAATCTAACCTTTACTTTTCAGAGAGCCTGAAACAGAGCACTTACATGCTGCTGTTTTATTAAAAGGTGTAGTTTTAGGGAGAAGGAGTGGGTAATAGGAGGGACAAAACAGAAAAGAAGGAAAACAGCTGTTTGCTTCTGTGACCCAGTTGGGTGGTGAGATCTTTTGATGATCAAAAGGCAAACAAGGAAGTAAGAATATGACTGATTGACAAAGCATATAACAGTTTCCCCAACATCCATACAAAATACATCTAAGAATTTCAAATAAGTTGTAGGGAAAACCAGGAGCCAGCATGACATATTTGATCAATGGGAATGAGCAAAACTTTGCATTGCGTTAGCTCTGTTTTCTTCCAGGATAGAAGTAAAGACTACAAAAAGGATCATAGATAGGAAGCAAGAAATACAGAATACTAAGCAAGGAGCTGTCAAATGACATCTGTGTCAAGTTGGTCATAGCCCAGAGTATCTGTGGCACCTGTAGCTGATAAAATATAGGCGAAACTGAAAGGGACTGCAGATTATAGTGAGAGGCATCTAACCAAGAGTCTAAACAATAAGAGTGAAGTATCAGACGGTCATGCAAGTTAAAGGAAGAAATACTTAGAATCCATCCCATCTTTATCCTCCAACTAATCAATACAAAGTCTAAGATCAATCTCTCTCTAAGTCAATATTCATGTTAGCAAATAAAGGAGAGCATCAAAATACTAGAAATAAGATCAATAAATCCCAGACTAGTTGAAGGAAAAGTGATTAGAAGATTCAGTCAATCTAAAAAGCCATGACAATAATTAGCAGTGAAAAGGGGTTATAAAATCCATGAGACAGTAGAATGACCACATGTAATAACTTAGCATAGCTTTAAATACTGAGAATCTAAATATCTTCTAAAAATACTGGCTAAGGTCTTATGGAGGAAAATGTAAAAAGAAACTGATAGAAGAGATATGTGTAGCAAGTGCTAAATGAAAGATGATGTTAAAAATAGTCATTTAGTGCTGAGTATCCCTATATCAATATGTATTATTTATCCTTAACAAGAACTTTTACTAATAGAAAACATGCTTTGTATGCATACAATATAACCTAAAAACAAAGTAAGTCCTGACAGATCTTATTAGCATGTAACATTTGTCAGTTTCTCCTTACATTTGTGTTACTTTTTTTCCCCCACAAACTGATAAAATGATCAGTAAACACAGAGAAAATCTGAACTGTTAATAACTTTTAACAATGATATCTAGAAGAAACTTATAGCTAGGAATATTTTGATATTCATCCTCTTTACTTCTACCAATCTGTTTTCCATCAACAACAGATGTAAGAAACAGAGAATCCCAAATAATCACTATGCCAAACTGACAGCAATACAATTAAAATTAAATAAGAGATCAATGACACTTCCCACAATAAATGTAAAATAGCCCATGTTATTTGCCAACTTTCATTCTTAATGAACCCATGTACTTAAAATGCAGCTTCATTTATTAACTCAAAGCCACTTCTATTTCATCTATATTCTGTCTACTTCCCCAATGCCCTATTATTTTTAAACAAATCTAATAAATCAAGCTTGGAGGTACATACTGAAATACTTATAAATAAAACAAGCATTGTAGCCTATAGGGTGTAAAAAAAGACCATGTGTATACAACTGGCTTGCTTTTGCTGGGTTTTGTTCATGATTGTTTTGAAGAAGTCTTATATACAAAGAAACAAGCCAATGAAGAAAAATTCTATTCCACTGATTTCTGCTTTTAAAAAAACATGTCCTTTCCTTATAATTTATTTTTGTTAGTTGAAATGTTATTTATTGATTCATTCAGCTAGGGGTGGGTATGAGTGCCACAAAGCACAAGTAGAGGTCAGAGAACAACGTGATTCCGTCTTCTTCCACTGTGGGTTGCAGTGGTTAAACTAAGATCATCAGGCAGTGGTTAAACTAAGATCATTGCTTGGTGGCAAATGCTTTGCCTCTGAGCCATCTTACCAGTGCTTCTCTTAGACTTTCAATGAATGGCTTTCTACAAAAAAAAAAAATGAGGTTTACACTCAAAATTAAAAGTTAAGTATAATTATTTGTATGATTTATATTGATTGTCAGCTTGACAGGACATAGAATCACCTATGAGACATGCTTCTAGACATGTCCTAAAGTTTATCTAGAATCAGTCAATTAAGGTCGGAAGGCCCACTTTGATGATAGACAGTGCTGTTCCATCGCCTGGCCTCCAAACTGAATATAAAGAGAAAATGAATGCTAGCATTCATACTCCTAGACTTGCTAATCGTGGATGTAGTGAGATCAGCTGCCTCAACGTCCTGACTTCATGAATTTCCCCAAAATAATGGGCTGGAACTATGGGCCCAAAAGGTACAATGACACAATTACAAGGCGTGTAACTAATACCACACCTGAACCATATGTCTGAAAATGCTTATGCACATTTTATAGAAATAAAGAGAGAATACTTAATTCACCTGTTGACAGACTTACTGTGTAAATAACCATAAATATAGGTTTCTCCTTTGCAGAAGAGAGAAACACACTGACCTAGAAAACCATCTGGAGATCCTAAAGTAAATATGTTTAAACTACTTTAACAAGATTATGTGGGGATTTTCTTTTATGAAGCAAACAAATTTTCATTTAGAAACACTAAGGCTTCTTAATCCATTCTATCAGTAAGTATGTAGCCCAAGAACTACAAACTATCATATAAATGATGATTATCAAAGAAAACTGTTTTGTTCCAGGCTCTGACAGCCATAAATGCCAAAAGCAAATCTCTGGGTTCTGGGTGCTAAAAACTGGGAGGGGCTAGAAACCAATCTCCTTCTTGTCTCCAAGAACTAAGACAAGAACTCAGAACCATAAAAAGCTGATAATGAAGCAAAAGCTAACATCTCTTTTAATTCTCATAGTGTCCCTCAAATGAGATAATTTGACAGCATCTGTGAGCATGGCTTATGGGCCGGCTCAGAGGAGTTATTTTTGGTGGAAAATTTGTTGAATCATAGGATCTTATAGCAGTTAGTAAATATGGCAACATAGTCTTGCTGAGGATGTCTTACTCAAAGGCAACAAAAGAGGCAATCCCAATGAGAATCTGAAGGGGACAGTTAGAGTGTGGGACAAGAGTCAAGAAAGTGTACAAGAGACTGGTTTGTGATGGTGCCAGGTCAAGGGGGCCAGACAACTTTTGAGCCAATGAACTCTTCATCTAGTTTCTAAGATGTAAAGCAAAGTATCTATAGTCTACTATAATTTATTGGCTATTTAAAAATAACTGAAGGGTCTTGGAGTTCTCAAAGGGTAGCAATGATGAATATTTGAGGAAATAAAAATTTTAATTGTTCTCATTTGGTCATTACCCTTTGTCTTAGTTTCACTTATGTTGCTATGATAAAATATTCTGATAAAATGCATATTGGCTCATGATTCCAGGTTGTAGTCCACAACTGTAGGAACTCAATCAAGGAACTTAAGGCATTACATCTGTGTTAAAAGCAGGGTGGAAGTAAACAGATGATCCTTGCTCATGATCATCTAACTTTCTTCATTCATATGCAGTTCAGGGCCTAGGCCCCTGAAATGATGCTATTAAATTAATTAACAGTCAAGATATTCTCCCACAGACCACAGACCAACAGGATCTAGATAATTCCTCATTAACACTCTTTCCAGACATGTTTACAGACAAAACCAACCAACAAAACCAGTGTATACATACACTTAGTTAGCATACTATGCCATACAAACACATACAAATACCATATATAAGTTAAAATATAAAAAAGAGGGGATGAGATGATTAAGCAGCTGAAGACATTTGATATGAAGGCCTAGAAACCCTGAGTTCTACATGTAAATTTTGATCTGGCATGCTTCTGACCACATGCATGCCATGTCATGTACCCCACCCTAAGTCAACACACAACAATGATAAAATTTTATTTTAATGTATATTTAATTTTAAAGATTTTAAATGACTAGATAATAAAATGCATATCAGGAACATAGGATAAATTAATTATTGTGACACACCATATAAATCCCAGTGCAGGGAGGAAGGGATACCATGATAGAGGGAGCCATTATAGGTTTAAAGAGAATTCTGACAATAGGGAAATGTCCAGAGACCCACAAGGCTGACCCCAACTAACAACCTGAGCAATAGTGGAGAGGCTACCTTAAATGCCCTTCTCTGATAATGAGATTGATGATTACCTTATATGCCATCCTAGTGCCTTCATCCAGTAGCTGATGGAAGCAGACACTCACAGCTAAACACGGAGAGGAACCCTGGAACCCAGTTGCAGAGAAGAAGGAGTAATGAGCAAAGGGGTCAAGACAAGGCTGGAGAAACCCACAGAAACAGCTGACCTGAACAAGGGGGAGCTCATGCACCTCAGACTGATAGCTGTGAAACCAGCATGGGACTGTTCCAGACTCCCTGAAAGAGGATGTCAGTTTGGAGGTCTGGTTAATGTATGGGGCCTCTGGTAGTAGATCAGTATTTATCCCTAGTACATGAATAGACATTGGGAACCCATTCCACCTAGAGGGATATTCTCTCAGCCTAGACATATGGGGGAGGGTCTAGGCCCCGCTCCAAATGATATGACAGACTTTGAAGATCTCCCATGGAAGGCCTTCCCCTTCCTAGGGAGCAGAAAGGGGATAGGATGGGGGATGGTGGGAAGCAGGGGAGGAGGGGAAGGTGAGGGAACTGGGATTGACATGTAAATGAAGCTTGTTTCTAATTTAAATTAAAAAAGAAAAAAAAGAACTAAAACCAAAATCATGTATTGATTTTTCTATTACAGGATTTGATTTATTATTGGATATTTTGGCTTCCATGATGTTAATAGTGGAAATATAAACATGGCTTTCTGCATTTGTAAACTTCAGACTTTTCACAGGCAGCATCCTGTAGCATCTTATTGTTTAGAAATATGGCCTCTGTTAAGTAAAGAGAAACACAAAACTGAGCTTGTGTTTTCAGTGTCTCTCCTCTTTGAAGGTCATATCTATACAACTGGAAACTCAACCATGACATCTGTATAAACATTGACCAGCTGTTTAATCTTCTCTCCAGGGTCAGAAAGTGAGTGAGGGAAAAGGGGGTGGGGTGGGGTTTAGATAAACATCGTATATTCAACTGATGCCCCCTAATGGCCAAGGAAATATGAGCCCATATTTTTCCCTGCTAAAAATTTCCCAAATTTTAACAGAAGCTTTGTGGAGGTGTGGTTATCAACACCCATCCTTCAATCTCTGAATTCTTACAACTTGACAATATTCCATCTCATACCTTGCACCCCAAATCTGCACACTCCCAGTATCCTAGAAACCGTACCTCAGCCCCACTGAACAATGGCAGTTGAAGGTCACCTCTGCTTAATGTGGGGAACATACAACCTTCCCTCCAGATTTGTTTTTTGGATTTTGCAATACATTTCTCCAGATTTGTTTCCTGATCCTTTGCTATACCTTTCATAGGTGAGGTTAATATACACATTTAATACTCTCTCATAGTAACCTCCTACCAAACTTCTATATCCTTGAAAAAATAGAGGCTTGGTTTATTTTGATCAAATTCTACCTTTTTTTTTTTTTTTATAAGTCTGGGCTTCAGCGTATACTGTAAATTCACAGTAGCATTATAAAATGGTAATTTTTCATCTGTGGAACATTGGATTTTTAAGGTTTTAATAATGATGTTTGTGGTTCAAACAAGAATTTAACAACAGAACCTGTGGTTCAAGTTGAATGGAGTTTGACGGAACAATTCTAATTCACACAGAGGAAAATTATTGACTAGCGGCATCCTCAGATGGCAACATTTTTAAGTGCAGAGTGCACCTTATGCAAGCAGCTTTCCTCAAAACTTCTCCAACTTCTACTTAAGAGAGAAGTTGAAGAGACTAAGTAACTTTTAAGATAAAAATATTGATCTTTTTAGGAAACACGTCCTGTGTTTTAAACCCAGAAAAGGCACAGCTTAAAACGTCTAAAGATGCATACCCTGTGAATACTAAGTCACAGCATGGTTAAAGAGACAGTCTGATTGCTGTGTCTCTCAGTGACAGTCGTGCAAGGGACTTGTGGCAGTGCTGACACCTAAATTCTAAGATACCTTAAGACTTGTGGCAGGCCATAATCAAGAGTGAGGACACCTTCGGAGTTACCATAGCAACCCCAGGAGCAGACAGGATAGAAAAGGAGACTAATACTCATAAGAGGCCAATCACTACTCTCACAAGTCCTGTTTGATCAGTAAACCAGTTAACTCATGCTTTTTCCAAATTTTCTTCCTAACAGTTAGGTCAGGTAACACCTGTCACTCATGGCCATCTCCATATCCCTGAACCAGATCCAAGCAATAGAATAATGCTTCAGACAAGATCAGGTGCATTCAGGGTGGTAGTAGAATAATACTTCAAAGTTAAGATGTTTTGTTAAAGCTAAAGGAATTCAGCTTGAATTGAATTATTTAACTAGAACAGGTTAAAACTTGAGGCTATTGTAGGTTCTATGAGAACTTAGCATCTTTTTTTCTCCTGTAAAGAACTATATAAATAATTAATGCCCATTCCCTTTCAAAGCAAGTTATATGAATTTTTATTGGCTTATATGTGTGAGTGGTTGATTATAAATATATAATCATTTTATTTATTCATAATTTGCTAGTAGAACAAAATCTTTTTGACCATCAATGGGTGCCTCAAACATCTAATTATTATCAATTCTCAGTGCCTATCAAAATCCACCTATCAACTTAAAGAAAAAAAAAACACTATAAGCCCCTGGAACTCATGCCTCTCCTAAACCATTGGTTGTGTGTTTGTTATGAGAGCCTTGAGGGTGCAGCTAGGGTGCCTTAAGAATGCCAGCTTATCATTTGCAAAGGCTGTCAGCTGGGTGAGATCTAATCTAGGATGTATCAGTATTACTGGATGGGCTTTAGGAGCATGATCATCTTGACATGCTACAGAACTGGATAACAAATTTGCTTTGTTTGTCTATGCCATGTGTGGCAAGGAAACCGCTCACCTGGTTTTCGAAGGCTAGCCTAGAGTGCCAGCTTTCTGGTGCTTTTAAAGTCTGCCTGCTAATCCCTTCCACCTTCACTTTTCCAAATCAAATTCAGACTTATCTCACTCTGTCTGAATGTGTCTCTTGATTGAGTGATGTTAGTTCAAGAAAAAAACACGCAAATCAATTTAATGCAAATTTCCATTCACAGCCCGGTTGACCCATTGGGATACTGACAATAATAGATTGGAGTGCTTAATTCCTAAGGCATGTGACTCATGGAAGGCTTAGTAATCAATTTCCATTGCAGAGACTGCATAATTTGTCTTTGGTGCTCTTAGGCTCTGGAATACCAAGTGCCTCCTCTTCTCATTATTTATTTTTTTAAGGCCTACACATCCTTTTCCAAATAGCAAAGCCCTTTCCGTGTCTCTGCAATCATTTCCTTATCTAAATTTCCATATGCTGCCCTGGCAAGGTGTCCTACCTATGAAGGATTTAGATCAATAAAAATAATTGGCATGTTTTGCCTCTAGTTGCAGATGCCTAGAATAGATTATACCACACTCTGGCAAACAGTAGCGAGATGAAATGAAGGCTGCTCACTGCTCCATCACATTAGCTGTTAACTCTCTGCAGCACAGCCAGTAGGGAGGGAGCCTTACAACAGGAACTCTCTGTGCCAGAAGCCCCCAACCCTGTGCACTAAAGTAAAGAGAGGGGTATGCAGCAGGCAGATGTCCTTTCCTTCTCAAACGGCATACGTTTCGTGCAAACTGTGCCTACCTTTGCCATTCTTGTTGGTATCTCTTTTCCTTTGACAAAGTGTTACACCGATAACAGATTATTCCCTGGGAGTTCTCTCTGGTGAACAGTTAAGATTTTTCTCTACGTTCTCGAATCCCTAGGTAAGAAATTTTTTCAGAAGTTAGGTCAGATGTATTTGTAGAAGACATCAGCCTCCATTTTTTCTGGAGTGGGCATGTGTCCTCTATGCCCTGCTGGTGTTATTTCTCGGGCCCACAAAGACTGACTGTGCTGCCAGGCCACAAAGGGAACAGCAGTGGACATGCCATGTGGAGAATGGATTCTGTGTCTTTCTAATTAAACAGTAAAGCACAGAAGGGACCGATAAGCTTCCCATACTGCAGCTCTGTTTCTTTGCTTATGCCCTGCCCCCTGGCAAATGAAGAAAGTGATACTTAATGGAAGAACAGGATAAGATGAAGCTGTTAGCCCACCTTTACTTTGTCTATGTTGAGTCAGTTTGAAGAAAGGTTTTTGTAAGTACTAAGAATCACATGCTTCTCAAATTTCCGTGGACCCCACTAGGAGGAATAATATTTGAAGTAACCCAGAATTAACTAACTTATAAATATATTTATGTCTATGTGTTAACAATGAACATGATGCATACGACAGACTGAGAATTTGCATGTAGATTCCTTCCTCAAATAGCTTAAAATATGGTGAATATAAATGCCAGGAGATTTTTTTTCTCTGTACTTAGTATTTGGTGACAACATTTCTATACCATTATTATATGTAATTTGGCAAGTACCAAAATGAAATTTTCCTATGCAATTAGACAATCAAATTGATACACTGATTTTAAAAATCAATAAAATTATACTATTTAACAACATTGATCCAATATAAATTTGTAACTAAAATTATTCTATTTTTAATCACATTTAAAATTTACTTTTCAGCTGTAACTGGAGTTTCTTGTCCTGCCACTCTTAAGCCCCAAATAAACACAATGATGCTATACTTGTTATAAAACTGTTAGCTGATGGCTAGAGCTTCTTATTGGCTACATCGTGTTAATAATTAATCCATTTCTATAAATCTATGTATTTCCACATGGTCTTGGCTTACTGGAGAATGCTTGGACCTGTTACTCCATTGGCGGCTACATGGTGGCACCTCTGCCTCTCTCCCAGCCTTCTCCTCATCTCCTCGCCTTGCTTATCTTCTGGCCTCTATTGGCTATTGGCAAAATAGTATTTTATTCATCAACCAATAAAAGAAACATATAAAGAGAAGAGCGTCCCCATCACCCAGCTTAGTTTTTGAAATGGCATGTGATACAACATGATTTTCATCTTAATGAATAACTAGTGATAACTTTATTATAATATTAAAGTGGAGCTGCTTGTAAACACAATGTTCTCGAACATCCCACATCGCACAAAATAAGCACAGCATTGAGCCAATATTCCTGTTTAATATGAGTGCAGTGTTGATAACATGCACAACTTCTCTGTTTGCGCATCATTTTAATATATTCCATCCAGAAAGTAGTCATTTCTTTTTATAGTAAAAGAAAAATGAATAAACATACCTTTCCTTTGAAACTTTGCCTATAAAAGAGAGAAGCCTGAACACTGCATCATTAAACAAGAGAGACCTTATAAACAACTAACACCCTAGAATTTTCCAGAATTGACAAACGAGTTACCAAAAAAAAAGAATGAGAATAAGAATGTCTATGAAACATCAGCACTAGACATCTGAAGGGAGCAGGGCAACACCCTCAGAATTCTAACAAAAAGATATTCTCCTTCCTTAATCCTTATACGACATTTCTGCATACTACATATGCAGAAAAACCCAGATTGAAAAAGAAATTCTCAAGTCTGTCACTAAAATACACCTCATAGACACCTTTCCTCGGATGCTTCCAGAATAGGCATTCTATCAATCTTATAAAAAAATGATGATAACAACAATAAGACATATGGCCCAGGGAGGAGGACCTGAATATTGGAGAGCAGAGAAAGTCCCAAATGAGTGCTACGTCATGACCAGAGAGTAATCTATGTTGCCTGGTGCTGGAGAATAAGGAACTGCCAGAGGATGTTACCTAGAAACAGAGGACACTGAGAGATTTTAATTCTTAGTGTTTAGGAGAAAATCAAGTTGGTATTTCATGGATTTTTGAATATTT